TATTTCAAAAGATCCCAATGCTTTATGAATCAACTTGTAGACCATTCCCTCTCTGGCTCCAGTCTGTCAGCAATCTGGTGCTAATGCACCAGGTCATCAAACTATGAATGGACGGACAAGCGGCCAGTGGTGGTCAGTGTTCATTAAATATCCCCCCCATGTCTTCAGTCCTTCGGTAAACATGGCTGGCGAGGTGGTGTGACTTGGGGACAAGGCTTTCATATTGCCCCCTACTGTTGCAAAGCCTCCTGAGAGTCCTCACTCACTATTGTTCTGTCTGGCCTTGTAATTACAGCCACTCGCTGTGAAAGCCTTTCACAGAAAATGAGCAGAAGCTGCTCGTACGTCAGTTCATATGACATTTCCACCTTCGTAGACAAAACTCAAACCTTATTTGTTTTTTTTGATAACTCAAGTTTGCAGAAGACATCATACCAACTTCAAAAGATCGGTCATTCTTTGTAATTTTACTTGATGTAAATCAGTCTGGCCTCCTGCAAGCAAGTTATATAAGCACCGGTGCCGCCCACCTCCATGTGCTTGGGGAGTATAGAAGGGGGCGGGATATGCGGCAAGTCAGTGGTGTTTTGGGGGGCCTTGACTGAGCACAAAGCCCAGTGTTCATTGCAGTACTTCAAAGACCTCTCTGTACCACCATTAAAGTTTGTGACAGTGTTATATCACACACTATGACCTAAAGGCTCCCGTTGCGCTGCCGTGAGAGGATTGTCCATTCATGGTTAATTTATATCTCTGTGATAATTGAGGGAATTGATCAACGAGAAGCTCCAACAGCCTCACAGTTGTTTTGCTCTGACATATAATGTCTTCCTTGCAGTTGTGGTTGTACCCAAGTGTGCAGCCAGCGTTACGTCTGACCTGCATCCAGAGAAAATGTGTTTTTTAAAGAGTTACAAGTGCACTGTTGAGGAGCTTTTCATTGGGCTCTCGTGATGTTTGTTACAGCCGAAGCTTCCAGGACCTTTGCAGCGCCTTGTGAACGTGTCATTCATACGATTGTGTAAGGACAGCTATGCTAACTTCCGCATGATTTTTTTTTCCCCGTGTTCTTTTCATCATCCTGTTTATGTCAATTCATACATCATAATCACAGCACAACATCCCGCGACCAGGGATTCCTATGCAATTGCAATCAGCACATACACAGATGCTATTGTTCACACACCAATATTAAAAAGTTAACTATTGAACCCAGTTGCACTCCACTGATAACCAAAACAGCAGCGCTGACCAAAGCACGAAACAGTCAGTCCGGTGAGTCCAAGTGTGGAGTCTAGATGTTGTAAAATATATATATATTTTTTTTTTGATTAGGCCTCTTCGGCACAAATAATTAGGTGACTGAGCTAGGCCGCTGTGTCGCTGTGAACTTTTCTCCTGGCTCAGCATCTTATCTCTATCTGCACCCAGGCACTCATATCAGGACCAGTTAAGACCGTCGAGTCACACATTGACATATGAGCTGGGCAGAGCTGGCCTCCTGCGTGCGTGTGGCTTCGGAAGTATGAAGAATAGAAACTATTTTGTACAGATTAGACCTTCCGTATCTTGCAGAAAAAGCTCCACGGCCGTGTCTCAATCTTCCTGGCATTCATCAAATAGTTAAACTGAGAATACGTATGCAGTCTTCTGGTAGTTACTGTTACTATAACAGACATTAAGGTTCTCACAGAACTTGGCTTGCATATTTAAAAAAAATAATGATGATGATGATCATGATCATGATTATTATTATTGGAGTAAAAATATTTATGTCACTACCAAAACAAGTCAAGCCTCAAACCCAGCTTAATCTTTCCAGGTGATACTGATGTTTTACCTGGAATGATGGCCATGTGCAATAAGAATGTATTTTCAATCTGTTACAATTCAGTCAACACCTTTAACATGACATTTGATAACTGAATGTTGGTTGTTGCCTTTAATTGCCTCTGAGCTTGTCAGCACCCATTTTAAAGATTCTTGGGATGTCTCAATATTCATGTTGGCTGTCAATGAGGTTTAGAGCAACACCCCGTGCCACCCTGATCCAAATATAAACCAGTGGAAATGTAAAGCCAGAACACAATGATGTGCAAGTAAGCAGCTGTTGTGTTGAAGGCCCGAAACTTTACTGACACTTTAGACTCTCTGTTAACATCACTCTGCCTTGGTTGGAGGCAGAGGACAAGTCCAAATTAGCTTGTTACTGATGTTTGTTTTTCTCTTACTGTTCCTGCTTTTTTAGACTGCCTTATCCTACTTTTTTTTTGCTACATATCCATAAATAGCACCAGAGTCACTGTCCTTCTGCAAGGTCACATTCCTGGCTTTCCTTATGAATCTAACAGCCCCCCGCCAAAACGCTAGCCCCTCCCCTCTCGCTCGCCTTCAGTTCCTGTGTGGAGACTGGTACTGTATGCATTCCATTTATATTTGACACTCCAACCAGCAGTGAATACATTTGCAGATGCAAGCTTAACTGGAGTTAAAACCCCCATGAACCCCTTTATTCCTCCTCTTGTTTCCCATGCATTGCATCTGAGACCCCTTTCGGGCATCTGTCTGTGCTTCACTGGAACTCTGAGAAGGAAACCGACCCACATGAGGGGGAATTTCCAACAGGAAGCATGCTTGCTTGACTGCCAAAATCTCAACAAAACCATTTCTGAAAAACCTTTTGTACTCGGGAATGCCATTGATCATATATTTTTGTTAAACTGGACAAAAATGTTGTGATTTCCGTATTTTATACATAACTAGGGTATGGAACACATTTTCTGTGAAAACTATGTATGTACAGTACTTTGATATTTGCCAGAGGTTGACCAGCAACCGTGATAGGACTGTGTTTGATTCTGTTTTGGTCATATTATTAATCAGATTTTACTATTGAAAATAAGTTAAATTGAATTACAGGGTGTCCTCGGTTTATGATGTACTTTTGGTTCAGATCTTTTTAACAATATTGTCTTCTTGTTACTATTTTTGCCAATGTAAAAATGGTAATTTGGTTCACGGCAAGTGGTTAAAAAAGATATTTGAGGTAACTTGGTAAAAGACGCATTTTTTTATTGTGTGTTTGTTGACCTGAACTCAGCCATAATCCGACTACAGCAATATTTTAAGAGTTCATTCCAAAATTGCAAAAGCACAGACAGAAGAATAGTGAAAGGAAAAATGTGGGAATCCAATCTTATCAGTTTCAGCAAACCACAAGGGGCCAAAAAGTCAATTGGCCATGATGAGCATAGTGCTATCAGCCAACTGCAATAAGCCAGTGCATTACCTTCTTGAGCCAGAGCAATCAGCAGGAGTGCTTAGTATTCTTGCTTGAATGTGTTAGTGCTCAGTGGTGAATGCAACTGAGGACATTGTGAACACTATACACGTGATTCACAGTCAGACAGGCACAATAAACCCACACATCCAGCTTATGGATAACATATTCAACTGCCAATCATTTTACCTGAATGCAATCCATTATAAAATTCATGATTATTTTTTTCAGCACACTCATTTCTACTGAGGTCTCAACAATTAATTAACACATGAATGCAAAAATACTGTACAGATCCAGTGTTTCCAGAGATAGCTTTCAAATGACATCACATTCCTCTGGACAGGCCCGTGGCCGCCATGTTGGAGGTTGGCGCATTGTTTTCTTCTGTTGGTTTTTGAGAGTTTGAAAAAATAACTGTGATTGCCAACACCAAAACATGGAGAATAATGTTTGGCTGCAACTATACAGGTTGAGGGTAAGCTTTAACACTTGTTACATACAGTGCATATCCCCATGTCCAATGTTCCAATGTCAAGTACAATATATGACGTTGACTGAAATTTCAGTTACTGTGTTATTTGTGTTTTCTTCAATTTCAAAATAATACATCAATCTTGACAACAATCGGATGCAATTTGGAGCTGATTCAAATTAGGTTTCCTCAGCTTAAAGCCCTCTGGTCGAAAACTGTTTTAAATTGCATAGGTGCTTGTTTTTTTTGGGGGGGGGGTTGTTTGTTTTGGGTTTTTTTTTTAATGATAGGCTAACCCCAAATGGAAATTTTAAATTTTCCTGCATGCTTTGAATACACTCAGGGCATTGTCCATGACTGACTCGAAGAGAAAAGTCGCCATTGGCTACTGTGGCTCATGACATACTGCAATCAAAATGCAAAAGAAACACTATTCAACCCTGTGATTTCTGTCGTCTTTCGGTTTTGGGAACTCGACCACAAGTGTTTCACCAGTGAAAATTTCAGGCACTATTTCTGGTTACGTTTGGTTCAGAACTATTGTTGGATTTAGGAATACAAAGGGGGCACAAACTTGTCTAAAAATTACGCGAGTATGCCTTTAACGTTTATCCGTTCAGTCGCTTTAGCTTGAAACAAACATCTTTAATCATCTCTCATTACTCTTATTTAATTAGCATTACTGCTGACCGTGTCTTAACAGAGTAGGATGGCTGTGAAGGGTGGACAGTGCCTTGAATGTAACAATGCAACCAGAGATTATATGGTTATGTAAGCCATCTAGATGGCCTCACACGCGTGCGAACAGCGATACGAATGACCACCATCAGCAGATATCAAAATGTCATCGTACAGAGTGTCTTATTATCCTGCTGGCCCATGACCCCATAAGTAGAGTACCATTTATAGAAGAACACTTTTCAAAAACCTTCAAACGCTGTCAAACTAACTTGCTCTTTCTTTGAAGACTTTCTGCTGAATATGAGTTAATTATGCAAAGCCGACCACAGCTGCCAAAGGTAAATGCATACAAGTGCGATGGGAGATGGGAGTCGTGCCTTTAAAACACTCAGATATGCATTGTAACCACTGAAGCTTGAGTCAGAAAGCACTTACTCACGCTCACACTTAAAATATATTCACACACACACATGCACACGCACACACACACACATGCACACACACACACACACACACACACACACACACACACACACACACACACACACACACACACACACTGGAGAGAATAGAATATGAGAGTATTGCGGCACTGGCTGGATGTGTCCCAGCAGTTACCGCATTGAAGCTTGGTGCAGAGATGGGAGTGTACAGTCCAGACTGGAAGAGAGCAGAGTGAGAAACAGGAGGAGGCAGAAACCTCAAAAAAGAAAAAAAAAGGCAGAGTTCTGGAGAGGCCAGGTAGCTAGCTGATTTATATATTTCAACAATAATCCAAGCGGAAGAAGGCTCGATCGAAGCAGTATAGATGCAAACCTTAGGAAGGTGCACAAATAGACCTGGTCAGCAGCAGAAGTAGGTGAGGGGGAAAAAAAAGGTTAGTGTCAATTTTGACTGGAATCAGGTCGATCAGGTGACAGCAGCATGTCTCGCTCCATCAGGCTGCCCCTTCTGCAGAAGTCGTTCAGTGGCCACAGCACATCTCCTAGCTCGACCTTAGATATGATCAACAAAAACGTTTGGGAAAGCCGATTGACGGGTAAGTGATCTGACCATTGTCATTCCACAGCGATAATATTGATCATCCGATTATTTATACAGCATGTTTGTATCTATTAGGTTACGATGTAGTGATCATTGACAATATAGCGCTTCACTCAGCTGACTTTCCAAGGCAAGAGTGGGATCAATTTCCGTAGGTGTGAGTGTGAATGGTTGTCTGTCCCTGTGTGATCTATTATTGGCTGGTGACCAATCCAGTGTAATCCACACCTGTTTGCCACAAATTTCAAAACTCTGCGCAGAATTGAACACAGTCTGCGGAAATAAATGCCAGGTGCAGAATATTACATTTCCATGTAGTTTGTGTCCCGGCTCTTACATGTCGCACGATGAGACGGGCTACGTTCACACTGCAGGGCGTGAGGCCCAATTCAGATTATTTGGGGTTAAATGCGCTCTTTTTGTGTTCTCTTTCAATTTAGAAAAACAAATGGGTCCTCTAATGTTAACTGAAATGCGTCCGTGATGTGACACGCATGCGCACAAAGCCCGGTGTCGCCCGACACACGCAAATGACGATGACACGCGGCAGTGCGGAAGAAATCCAACTTGTAGGGGCTCATTTCTGATCATCAGAGGAGTCATGCGGGAAGTGGTGGAATTATTATGGGGAAATGATGCAATGCTTTTCTTTCTCTTCATTTCATGGAGGCATCCGGTAAAGATGATGTTTTGTAACGGAGATGTCTAACAATGATGACCTCATGTCATTGCCGCGCGTAATAAATGAAATGTTTGTGCGGTTGAATTACATTTATTATCATACTGTATGCAGTGTGTTCACAATATCCAGGTCAAGTGGCTGCTTTACACTTTACATCTTTCCTCTATTATCGCTTGTTATGCCTCAAACCTAATGTTGTTCAGTGAAATGTTTTGCACTTTACCTTTTCTCCATTGTGAGACAAATAAAGGTTTTCTTGTCTTATCTTTCTAACTAATGAAAATAACAATGTATTATTATTCTTATACTGATAAATATGATAAATATGCCAAAGAGTTGATTATTTTATAACCGCAATGTTCCACATTGTTTTGCTTTTGCAGATAAAAGTCCTTCTGTGCAGCTTTTTCTGTGTCACCGCAAGCACGCGTGTATGGTTGCTCATGCATTTCCTCTCCAACTAATGAGCCAGTAGTGCATGGTCAGGATCCGGCCCATTAGTCTGCTTTCAACTCCCTGTAAAATAGTTTGCCTCTCAGTGTTACATTTGGTACTTTAACTCAGACTGCAAATGCATCCGCACACTTGATGGGTCAACAGAGTTTCTTTCATTCTGGGGCCACACATACCAGACCATCCATACCATTCTTTGGCACGCTTGACACACACAGTCCGGATTGTTCCACTCGAGTGAGCACTCCATATTGTCGTCAAGCATGCACGGGTGGACGAAGTGGATGGACGCACAGTACGCTTGCTCGTGCACGGACACAATGTAGATGTGACATTGATGCAGTTGTTGCCTCCACCACTTATTCGGAATAACATCCACCTTGCATAACTGTATTCAAAGAAGAAAATAGTACCAGAACTGTCACAGAATGACAAAAATAAAGAGCTGGTCTCAAATTTGCATGTGTGTGGCCACTGTGGCATCCTATCGCTAAACACTATGGTAATTATTGTCAGAATTGTCCTAGTTTGGTTGTTTTCAGTGTCACTTTAATACGTCTTTGGAAAACGGAAAAATAAACCTCAAGACCATTAAGTTGCAGAAAACGTGTCGTATACTGAAGGGATAGTATACATTTACACGAAATGAATTTGAGCATGCGACAGAAAAGGGTGGGGTTTGCCTGCTTTGGCAATATCATCCTTTATTTTTGACAGGCGAAAATGCCGCAATTTCCTTCTCGTGCACGTAACCCCAATATTAACAACAAGGTCGGGCCACTTGAAAGTTCCTAATCCATAGGTATGATTATCTATCAGAGGTTTGAGTAATGTTTGGTTACATTGTATCAGATACTCCCAATTTCCACAAAATAGGTACAGTTGAAAGAATCCGTCTTTCCAAAACAAAACCAGAAATCAGTGCAACATGGCTTTACCTCTCAAGTAAACCACACCCGGTAATAAATATTTATCTGAAAATGTTGTCCAGAATTTCGCAGCCTGTAAGCAGATCTCACTGTCGGTAGCCCTTAGGAAGCCCAGCAACCTACAGTCACACGTAAATGACGACACAAAAGTTTCAGACGATATGGCTAAAAATGGGTCAGTTTTGCTGCTTATTTCATCTTCCACAGCATTTATCAGAGTGCCAAGTCTAGACTAGTGGGGCCGCATAGAACATGTTATTTGAAAGCAAGTTTTTGCCTTGAATTCCTGTTGAAGTCGTCATGTTGTATGCATGCCATAAATGTCAAACCTGATGCCCTGTCACTTGATGTATGTTTGTTTCCGGGCCATAAAGTGCAGGAACGCATTGTTTTGTCCCAAGAGGGACGTGCTTAATCAGCGCATTTGTGACCAACTTTGGCTTTGGCGTGCTATCAGGCGGTAAAGAAATGTTTACTACGAAGAAGTTGCATTGTATTGCACAGCACACTATTGCTATTGGAAATATAGTTACTGCAGTCGGGGTATGTGTAGAGCAAATAATGAGATGGAGTACAGAAGCTGTCTTAAAATTTGCCTTCATGATAATAATAATAATAATAATGCTCAGTTTTAAATTATACTATCAGTGAAATTTCCATTCAACAACATGTGCTTGTGGTAGTAGTTTGCAGTGGTGTTGAGCTGTGCTACATCACATCAAGAGCTGCTTCCACCATTTAGCCTTTCAGATGTGAAGAAATAAAGTTATTACAAATATCAGAATATGACCCCTCACCAGTGCAGTTCTACAGCACCGAGTGCTGTTAAAGTAAATCATTTAAGAAAGTCCATCTAAAAGTAACTTTAGGTCGACCCCCCCCCCCCACTTGTTTACAGCACTTGATCTGATTAGATTGTGTCTACTTGCCAGCAGTGAAGGTTCTCATCATATGGCAGTTTAGTGGCAGAGATCAAGAACATCCATACAGCATAGCATGGGATGCAGTCATGTGTGTGCTCTGTGATCCTTCATGACGCATTTATATCAGTCGTACACGTGCGGCCTAAGTGCATCCAGAGTCACACATCTCGACATCTATCAATAGCCTTGTTGACTCCGCTCTTGTTGCTCATGTGATCGCATCGCATATTTCAGCATGTTTACAGCTCAAGGGGAAAACATGTATCAAAGAACACTGAGCTTATTCATTGGAAAATCCCAGCTGCCATGCGAGTCTTTGTGCGCTCCCTCCACTGGATTTTTCAAGCAGAAGATCACTGCTTCATCGCATCGTTCCCTGTCAAAGTTGTTTTTCTAATCAATCATTTCAAGGAGGCAATAGAAAGTGTTTCGGTGAGGCTGAATAGGAGTTTGCCTCGTGATTTATCACCGTGATAGTCGAAGGCGGAGGTTGTTAAAACTGATTGCAAGACTCTGACCAAAGCCGCGGCCCTCACTAAAGTGCACAAAACATGCACTGTATGTACTATAAACAAGCTGATGCTACATCCGTTCATTTTCTAACCTGCTTATCCTCACGAGGGTGACGAGCGTGCTGGAGCCTATCCCGGCTGTCTTCGGGCAGTTAGCGGGGCACACCCTGAACTAGTTGTCGGCCAATCGCAGGGCACACATAGAAGAACAATAACCATTCACACTCAAAATCACACCTTGAGACAATTTAGAGCCTTCAATGAACCTACCATGCGTGGTTTTTGGAATTTGGGAGGAAACCGGAGTATGCCCTTGGAAAATACAATCAATGCAAAATTAAAAAGAGATGATAAATGTTGAAAAATGAACCAAATTCTTGCCAATTCTGCATCACTTCAGAAGCCTCTCCGGTGCCCAAGTTCCTTCCACCTCCAAAGCACAACTGCAATGATCACCGTTGCTTTGTCTCAGGATCTATCCAATCCTTTAAATTATTATTTTTTTGCCTATTTGCTCTGCTTCCGTTATGCCCAGTTGTTGGCAAACAAGAGATGGGATTTTTATATAATTCTTTTTAATTTCAGCAAAGCTACTGAAGCCCAACGTAACAGGTCAGTGCAAGGTTGCGGGGGTGTACCGCAGAGTGCTTGGCAAATGATTTACAAATTAATATTAAGCCGCTTGATCATACTGACAGATTTAACAAAAAATGATCATCACAAATGAAATCAATTGTTAAGTCCTTTCATTTTGTGAAATGAGTATCTTTCCTTGAGTCTGTCTGGACGGTCCCTTCTGTTTGAAATGGTAACTGTAACTTTCACAAAGGTCAAAGGGTATCTGTTAGCTGACAGGTAGTCAATAAAAAGCAAATGGTGATCTGTCATCATCGCTGCTTGGAGAAAATGCCCTCTGGTCCAGTAGTCCCTGACCTTTTGTGCACCTGATTCAAAAGACTACACTACAAACACGACAACAGTGTGGCTTCATTGTAAAAAAAGTGTTAGTACTCGACTGCCGTGCCAACAGTCCAGACCTGTCTCCCAATCAAAATGTTTGGCTCTCCATGAAGCGCAAAATGCAACAATACAGACCCCTGACAGTTGAGCCACTGCTGTGCATAAAGCCGCACGTTGTTCATGAAGCAAGAATGTAAAATAATTATAGCTTAAACCCTGTCTTTAGTTTCCAGATTCGTATTGATTTTTGTTAAAAGCAAACATGAGGTAACACAGTGATAGGCCTGCCTCTGTCCAATCTCTTTGGTGTGTGTTGCAGATTCAAAGTGAGTGGATGTTTGCAATCAAGCAGTTTGAAAATTAAAGATCTTGTTTTTGTGTTATATTCAATTAAGTATAGGTAGAAAATGATTTGTAAATCGTCGTATTCAGTTTTTATGTACACTTTACACAACATCCCAACTTTCAATGCAATTGGGTTTGTACTTTATTGATACAGCCAACGCAACATACTCTAAATTTTCTGTCATGCCTGC